TATATACCTTTCTATGCCCTGCCATCTTACTTCCTCTCTCTGCCCAGCTCTATCACTTCCTGTCTGTCTGTACAGACCTCCAGACCTCTATGGTTAACTAGTGCTGGGATTAAAGGTATGTGCCACCACTCTGGCTCTGTTCCCAGTGTGGCCTTGAACTCACAGAGATTCAGATGGATCTCTGCCTCCCAAATGCTAGGATTTAAGGTGTGTGCATCCACTGACCTCTATGTTTTTTTTTGTTTTTTTAATGGTTTTTTTTTTGGTTTTTCGAGACAGGGTTTCTCTGTGTAGCTTTGGAGCCTGTCCTGGAACTCACTCTGTAGCCCAGGCTGGCCTCGAACTCACAGAGATCTGCCTGCCTCTGCCTCCCGAGTGCTGGGATTAAAGGCGTGCGCCACCACCGCCCAGCTCTAGCCATATAAAATCCCTGCTATCTTTTTATTGGTGTTTTATTGAATTATAGCCAGAGAACATAATCTGTGTCACTTATTCCTTTAAAGACACTGAGGCTCGCCTTCCATCCAAGCACATGATGCAGCTTTCACTTCCTCACCCAGTGTGGGCTTCATGGCACTCGCTCCTCTATGTATTGAAAGTTGTTCATGTCTCCCCAGGGAAAGTCACAAAATGAGTATTTTTTATTTTACTCTCCCCCCAACTTTACTAAATTCTAGTCTTCCTAATCTCTCATCTATAAGAGGTATGCTAAAAAATCTCCCACTACAATCTACAATTCAATGTGTAGTTCTCCAATACCTGATATTTGCACAAGAAAACCTAAAAATTAACTAAATAAATACATAAATAGAACCACAAAAGACCCTAAACAGTCAAAGCCATCTTGAGCAGAAACAGCAAAGCTGGACTCATCACAAATACTAGACTCCAAAACTTAAAACAAAACAGACTAATGGAGCATAATAAAGAAACCAGAATAACTCAGGTCATTACAGACAACTGATTTCTTTTTTTTCTTTTTTATTTTAAACAAAAGCAGCAAGAATAACGACTGGAGAAGAGACTGTCTCTTCAAAAAATGGCTCTGAGGCAGCCGGGTGGCACAGGGGTGTAAGGTGCTTGTCACCAAGCCCGACATTCTGAGCTCGATCTCTGGTAGCAACACCATGGAAGAGAACTGACTTCCATAAGCTGTCTCGACCTCCACAGTCACCTCAGCACATGCCCACCACCCCTCATACACATAAGCAGTTTGTTTTTCAAACAGTGTTGAGAAAACTGGGAATCTGCATGGAAAGAAAAATCCTAGGTGCCTATCACTCACTAAATATATATACGAGGAGGATTAGAATGGATTAAATTTTACTTGTGAGTTCTTCCTTTGTACTCTTGCTTGCTCAGCTAATCCCCCTTCTCCTTATCTTGAAAAAACAGACACTTAGGAAAAAGCTGCTTTAACTTTATCAGTTGCACTTCTTTAAAAAATGCTGCTGCAGAGAACGCCTGCCGGCCCCTAGGCACTAGGCAGATTTTAATGGACAAGACTAAAACTCTTTTCAACCTATAAAACTGTGAGAACTGAGGCTTGGGCCCAGCTCCTTGGAGTGGATGACACCTGACTTCTCCAACTCTGAGTAGTACATGCTCGTTTTCCTGTCCGTTCGCTTTCTAACAATATAAAAATCAACTAAAAAATGGAAAAATGACTAAACCTGAAACACGAAACCATCAGAAGAAATTACATGGAATCAGTTCAGGGCATCAGTCTGAGCAAAGACTGTTTGGATAAGACACCAAAAGCACAAGGAAAAATGTACTAATTGGATTATGCCAAACTAAAGAGCTTTAACAGAGCAAATGAAACAGATGGAAGGGAACTATAGAACAAGAGAAAGTGTATTTCTACCCTTGTCTAAGGTATCATGTTTATGTAATTTATTTAAATTGTAATGGAAAATTAAGAAATATAGATTAATAATTAGTGTTCTATGATAGTCAAACTTTTAGTCATGATAAATTTTCTACATATACATACATATATTTCAGATAGATAGGTAATCTTCAAACACTTGAAAGACCTACAGAATATGGCATTTAAAATGTTTTAAGAACTTTGACTTTCTGGACAATGAGACACGTCTATTCCTGGCAGCACCGATTTACTTCAAAGAGAAAGATGGGCATCGAAGACACTCCATATGGAGTTTATCTTCTTCTTGGCAAAAATGGCCATTTGAGCAAGAAACTGTTCTTGCCTGGACTGCTTGATGAAATGTTGTATCGACCGGACATGCAGGACCCATAGGAAAGTGACCACTGAACTTTGCAAGGCAAAATGGTCCTTCAGGCTCCTGCTTTGCAGAAGAAACTGCCAGACATTCTACAGGACACAGAAGTGACTGAAAGACGCTAGGCCTATGGGCTGAAGAAGGATGCCCCAAAGTTGTAGAAGAATTTTGGATGACTGTCCAGGAAGGCAGCTGTCTCTGTCATTCTAGATTTTTGAAAGTTGCTTACTGTAGGGAAAAGGGGCTGGCTAAAGAAACCCACCCTGACCCTGGAACCCAGAATTAGGGAAGGATGGCTCAGATAAGGCCAGTGAAAGAAACACAGTTTGGCCCTGAAGTCAGGGCCATCTCTGCCCCTTGCTCACAAAACTGGCCAATCCCTGGGCAGAAAAAAAGCTAACTAATCACAGTTGACTCGCCCCCTAAACATCCTACATAAACCACCCTGCCTGGTCAGTTGTGAGCTATTCTCTCCACCCTGGTAGAGGCAGCTACTCTCCTGGACTCCTCCTTCCCAAATAAACCTCTTTCTCAAAAGAGTTTTGGGTGAAGACCTTCATTCACTGGTACACAGAAGAACCTTGTTGGGATGTCCCATAGTGGACTGAGCAAGAGAGAGCTGGTAACACTGAGCCGGAGACTGTGGCTCTCCAGGAGAGGAGCAGGATTGCTGTCCTCCTGCTCCAGGAGAGGAGCAGGTCCTGCAGGGAGACCATCCCCCATCACACCAGGTATATCCTGACTTTCCTGAAGAGTCAGGATACCCTTCCTTGCTGAAGCAGTTCCAGGCCTGACCCTCCTGAGAAGTCAGAAAATTTTCCTTTCCAAGGTTGGGCTGTTTCTTTGCATTTCCCGCCATCAGAGCTGTGCTAAACAGCTCCAGGTGTCCAGGACACCTTCAGGGCAGAGCTCTTGTTCTGAGTAGCTCGAGGTGTCTGGGATACCTCGTCCTCTAGGGCTGAACTGTCTCCAGTTCAGTCATCAGAGCTGTGCTAAACAGCTCCAGGTGTCCAGGACACCTTCAGGGCAGAGCTCTTGTTCTGAATAGCTTGAGGTGTCTGGGATACCTCGTCCTCTAGGGCTGAACTGTCTCCTTGAAGTTTCAGCCATCAATTTACTAACATTTTGGTGCCGAAACCTGGGACACCAAACCCAGAGTTTGTGCAGTTTACTTACACTTACAATGCACTTCCTACTTACTTAGATAATATTGTATCCTTCTGAGGTCTTTGATGTAGTTGAAGACTAGATAGTTATAATTTCCTTAGTTATGATAAAAGATAAATTAGATATGAAACTTTAGACTCACAAATATAGAATATTTTCTTTAATTTTACAAAATACAAATAGACTAAATATTGTAACTGCAATTCTTGCTTGATAACCGTTTGTTATATGTAATTTTATTATGTTAAAGTTAAACCCTTCCTTTTTGATTAGAAAGAAAAGGGGAGGTGCTATGGAATTTTCTGTATGCTGTGAACGTGTTGCTCTGATTGATTGATAAATAAAATGATGATTGGTCAGTAGCCAGGCAGGAAATAGAGGCAGAATAAGCAAACAGGAATTCTGGGAAGGAAAAACAGAACTGAGGAGGAGACGCCAGCCCGCCGTCCAGGGAGCAGCATGTAATGGCACACAGGTAATGCCACAGAACGTGGCAACATAGAGATTAACAGAAATGGGCTGAGTTTAAGTGTAAGAGCTAGTCAGTGGTAGGCCTGAGCTAATGACCAAGCAGTTTTAATTAATATAAGCCTCTGTGTGTTTACTTGGGTCTGAGTGGCTGCAGACTGGGCCAAAATCAATATCAGAGGCCAAAAACACTCTATAGTAAAAGAAAAATCCAATTATAAAATGGACAAACAAAATGAATACACACAGATCTCAAAGCAATATAAATGACCAGCAAATATATAAAAATTGTCTCACAATGAGATCTCATCCCAGTTAGAATGGTGATCATCATTTTAAAAATGTTAGCAAAGACACAAGTAGTTTACAATGATAATCATCAAATAAATAAATAATAAATGTTGATGAAGATGTAGAGAAAGAATAACTTTCACACACCATTGGTGAAAATATAAATGAGTATGATTATGAGAACAACTTCCTAAAAACAACAGAAATGGAACTATATTATGATCTGGTAGTTCCACTCCTAGGAATCTAACCAGTAGAAATGAAATCAGTACATCAAAGAGACATGTTTAATGCAGCATTGTTCACAACACTCTAGATGTGGACTAGCCAGAAGCCTATCCATGGATGAAGAGAAAGGACAATGCAGTACAGACAGACACAATGGAATGCTATTCAGTCATAACAGTGACATCCTGTCACCTGTATTACCAAGGAGGAACAAAGGAACATTATAAGTCAAGCACAGAAAGACAAATATAGCATGTTCTTTCTCACATGTGAAGCTCAAAGATTTGGTCTCAGAAGAGTAAGAAAAGAACAGTAATTAGTAGAGGCTGAGAAGATTATAGGGAAGGTGGGGATGCAAAGTATAGGTGCAGGGGTAAAATTGGATAGGACAAATTTTCCAGTAGTCTACAATACAGTATAAGTATGGCTGATAAAAATACATACATTTAATAGAGAGGACTCTACACAAAATGGCTATTTAGTTGATGAATATGCCAATTACCTTGATTTGATCACACATATTATAGGAAAGAAATGAAATATCATGTTCTATTGTTAAAAAAATTTAAGCAATTTAAACACATATTAGGAAATATGTAGATTTGTCAAGAATATCAATTTTATTCAGAATACAGAATATTCAAGTACAAAAGAATGAAAACATATATACGTATACCATTAGAAAAGATAAAACATTGTTCTAGGATTACTAAGGCACTGAATGCAAATATCTCCTGAAATATGAAGTATCAAGTTTTAATATATTTAAGATTCAGATACTCTGATACAATTTTCAGCTTTCTTATTCTTTCAACTTTCTTAGTCCCTTGAAAGGCAGCATTTTAAAAAATATTTATGATATCTTAAAGAAAATAGTATGATAACCCAGCTTTAAATGTATGTTTTAACTTTAAAATTTTGTTTTATCAAGCAATACACAACAAGGCACATTGAAGCACAAAAGGTTACACAGTTTGACATGACACCTCAGAATATTGCTAATTGAGTCACTGTATCAAATATTTTAAAGTTTTTTACTATTGATGTTAGCTTTAACTTTGTAATACATTCCAAAGTATATGCCTCCAGTGTTTTCTGTTTAGTATACAACAAAAACGTTTGTTCAGCTAGAATGAAAATACAATCAGATATCCATAATATGAAGGAGTTCTGTAGTTCTAATGGCAATAACCCTTTGCTGTTTAGAATAACATGCAGTCAAGTGACAATTTGGCAGCAGGAAAGTAGACCGAGATCCACAGCAAACCAGCAACTTAGAGATTCTGAATGACTGTAAATGTGTGAGAAATATACACTTTGGCTGGCAGATCAGCCTTATATGTGAAAATATTTTTCTAACTTTAGCCCTTTGCTAGATAACTGAGTCAGTGATAAGGCAAAAAGAGGAAAATTTCAAAGCATACAAATAACTTTTGATTGTGATGACCATCTGTGCTCTGGAACTCTTGTATTACATAAAATTGGAGCTGAAAAGAAAAAAAATCTTTTGAATGGAACAATTAAAAAAAACAACATAAGAAGCAAAAATTGTCAAAAGCATTAATTTCACAAAGCTTTAATAGAAAGAGCAAATAGCACATACAGGATATTTAGCTATGGAACTTTGAAAAAGAAAAAATTAGCAAGCCATGTTGTCTTGAGTATGTGTCCTGAGCTCTTACAGATCTGTGCTTGGGCTGGGGATGGGATGCAGCTCAGTTGGTAAGGAACACGTAAAGCTCTGGATTAGATTCTTTAGTACAGTATAAACTCAAAAACCAGACGTGCTGGCACACACTGTAATCCCAGCGCTTGTAGGGAGAGGAATGACGACCACAAGTTCTGCATCTTTCTTAGCTACACAGAGTCTGTAGCCACCCTAGATATATGATTCCCTGTCTCAAAAAAGAAAAAGAAAAAAAGAAGCTTTCGATAGAACTTAGCAGTAAGAGTGCTTCCTACCATAAGGGAAACTGTAGGCTCAATCCCAAGTATTAGGATACGAGGGAAGAAAGAAAAGGAATCCATGGGTTTGTCTGACTTTGTAAACAACAGCATGACTCTCAAGGAGAGTGGAAGAACAACTTTTATTGGGGAGACAGATATGGGAAAACTGGGGGATCTTGCTTTGTTACACTAGATTACAATGAAGGAATAATAAAGTAAAAAGAGCTCTTTTTCATTTAAAGCATGGTAAAACTAGTAATAAGTTGTATTTATAATTTATATCTTAAATCCAATACTTCAATCAAAATACATCATTATACATTCTTTCTTTCAACAAATAATTACACAAAATATAGGCACCAAGTTCACAGAAGCAGGAATCTTGTTCTGTGGGAACACACTAGAGCACTGCCCTCCTAGGACAGGGCCGGTGGAGCAGGAGACCCACAATGGAACATCCCAACGGAACAAATCATGACAGGTTTCTTGACAGTAAAAGTGACGTGGACAAAGGATATTTAAAGTGGGAGGAATAAAACGAGGGACACAGAGTACTGAAGGAAACCATCAAAAAGGAAAAAAAACGGATTTTCAAAAACTGGTAACTTTAACACATGTCCTAACCCTTTAAGTTTGAGATTATCTCTAAGTACTACTCACGCCAACCCCTTGAACTGTGGCCCTCTCTACCTTCCTCTGCGTCTTTATGTCCGTCATTGATTTCACCAGCTCTGAGTTCAAAGCACACGAGTTCCAGCTGATAGCCTGATTCCCTTATTAAAATAAAAAATTCTCACAAAAATCAATGATGAGTAGAATTAGTCTTTTAAAGTGAGCCTAAAATTAAGGTTTTATTAATAAGATATTTAATTCAGTGATTGTCCATCAAAATTTAGTTTCTAGGGAAACACAAAACACAAAGTTACTCATGGTATCAACTGTGTCCTAGAACCATGGCAGGGCTGTGAAATACCAGTAGCCTACCCACCCACTCTGCCCCACCTGACAGTCACAGCTGTGAGGTGTTTGAGTCTGTCCATCCCTTAACGCTGTAAACACCGAAGACCTCGGACAAGCCAGGCAACTACTCTGCCTACTCAAAGGACAGTGAAGAACAAGGACAATGTCTCTCCTCTGAAGCTGCGGGAGTGTTGGCAGCAGGAGGCAGACAGGGAGCAAGGAAACACAGGAAAGGAAGAGCAAACAGGCGGGGAGTCACAGGTGAGGAGCAGGGCCACAGGACAGGGTAGCAGGACTCTTACTTCTTTCGGTCCTTGTCCTTCTTAATGCTGCTGCCTGTCGCCATAAATGACTGGTTCTGGAAGAGGTCGCAGGCAGCTTTCTTCTTACAGAAAGCAACTGACTCTTCCTCCAAAGTCCTTCTCTGTTCTTCAAGTTTTAGCCTCTCTTGCTGGTGAATTCTTTTAAGATGCTCAAATTTGGCCTGAAGCTGCAAAACAAAAGGACAGTTCCCACAGTTGGCACTATGTGGCAGCACACAGGCACGAGCGGTTTCCGTCTTAGCAATCCAGTACCCTTCCACCCCTAATGCAACTCATCTAGCCTACTGTCCACGCTGCCAGTAAAAGCCTTCAACTGCCATGGGAACTTTAATTAGAGAGTTCCTTTATGTGAGTGAGCCAAATACATAAAAGCCATAGCCTCAGGAACAAAACTTTTGACTATTTGCTAATATTTTTATATCCTTGCCTTACATTTTATCCATAAAGCCTATTTAACAAAGATCCTCAAATTTATGCTCAATAAAAATAAGGAACACAAAAGTACAGAAGAAAATTACCAAGAACAACAACAAAACTCTTTTGTTACCTCACTGAGTCATTTTCCCTCCCCTTACAGATGGGAATCAAGACTACCTTCTTTTCATCAGACACCCATGGGATACTTAAAAGTCAGGGGACAAAGACACCTGGCCTCTGAACAGCATCTTAACTTCTAACAGCACACTGTAGCTAGATCCTCTCTGTAGATGAGGTAAATGAGACGTTCCCTATGACCAGGCTTTTTTTCTTCCAAGGGACAACTTCAACTTCTATAAAAGCTATAAACTGGCCGGGCGGTGGTGGCGCACGCCTTTAATCCCAGCACTCGGGAGGCAGAGCCAGGTGGATCTCTGTGAGTTCGAGGCCAGCCTGGGCTACCAAGTGAGTTCCAGGAAAGGCGCAAAGCTACACAGAGAAACCCTGTCTCGAAAAACCAAAAAAAAAAAAAAGCTATAAACTGGATCCCATTGCGGAAAACAGTTTGTTCTAACACTTACATACTTGAGACATCGATTCAAAATTCCATGGAGAGTAAATGTAAGTACAACCTGGCCCTTTTATAACACAGAGACCATTAGACAATCTTAAGTTTGAAAACGTCAGAGGGTGGCTCTTCAAAACCAAGCATTTCCTCTCTGGTAGCTTTCCTTTATTTCCGGGTAAAGAGAATAATCAGAGAGGAGAGAGAACTGCTTCTGTCTCCTGTCAGTCCCTACTCCAGCACACAATGCAGCACAGAACGGTAGCTCATCTGGTCAACTTGATGTGTGTTCTAAGGAAGACAACAGTGCCAGGTCCTGTCTAGCCCACTCCACTCCACTCCTCTTTCCTCCTTCCTTGCTCCTCCAGGAAAAAGTAACCATTTGCTATCTACTCCAAATTCTTGAGGGAAGTTTATCTCCTTAGAATTACAAGGTTAAAGTAGAAAGTTTTCTTTTGTTCTCTGTGTACTTTCTTTCCTGCTAATACAAGACAGTTCATGACCCCTGGTCATGGGACCCTCTGCTTTCTTGGCCAGCTCTTGTTCGAATGCTAACATCTTGAAGCTCCCCAACTCAGGGAAAACCAAGGGAAAGTGAGGGAAGAGCCTTTACGAGAGAGAACCCGATGCCTACAGAGTCTCCCAGGACTTACAACAGACAAAAACTATACTTTTATGGATAGGTAACCTTAGATCACATTATTCCATGAATGTAATTTGGTAAATGTTTTCATTTTGTTCTTTCTTTGTGACATAAAAAGGAACCAATAAGCAGGAGAGAAAAAAAAAACATAAAAAGGATGTAAGTGAAAGGTTTGTGAAAAAAAAGGAGTTTATGCCGGGCGGTGGTGGCGCACGCCTTTAATCCCAGCACTCGGGAGGCAGAGCCAGGCGGATCTCTGTGAGTTCGAGGCCAGCCTGGGCTACCAAGTGGGTCCCAGGAAAGGCGCAAAGCTACACAGAGAAACCCTGTCTCGAAAAACCAAAAAAAAAAAAAAAAAAAAGGAGTTTATGAAAGATGAAATTTAAACATGGAATATGTATAGTGATTAAAGGTTATGAAGATTCCTGAGGTAAAAATCAACACTGATAGAAGAGCTCTACTTTAATCAAAGGAGTTCTCTTAGGATACTGACCAACTCTTTGTAACATTTACAAAAACTGACTTAAACAAAATATGATGTTTAATCAACATAATTATATTCTCTCCCACATTTGTTAAAAATCTGGTTTTGTCTAAGTTTTGTCTGTTACCCAAAAGTTAAAACTAGAATCTATCACGTACTCTGTAAGAGGAATGAAACATCCTCTGGGTTTCCAAACCAATGAAGGGTGAGAAGGCTGTAACACAGCCCAGATTTTGCCTCTTGCCAAGCCTCTAAGGTCAGTCAAGACCTAGGGGGCGGAGAGGGGCCCTTCTAAAAGAGCCCTATGACTCTGATAAGTCCCTGTCTTCATGACCAGAGAGGACAAGAGCCCAGAGACTGGACCTAACCAGTCACATCCTGCAGAAAGAGAATCAGGAGGGAGGGAACATCCCCCTCTAAGGGAAGCCACACGGTTAGCAAGACCCTGACCATTCTTATAGACAAAGATATCATTCAACATGTAGAGAAAAAATGACCAAAGCCAAGGGGCTCCTCTTAAGTTCCCAAGAGTAACCCCCAGAGTCTTGACTGACTTTAGCACTATAAGAGGTTAAATTTTGGCTACCTACATGGTCATAAACACACAACAGAAAATATAACCAGAAATAATAAAACAGTTCTATCAGGCCCAACCAAGATTCCTGGGTATGTACAGTTCCGCCGGGACTGCCCCTGCTCAACTCCTTGTTTGGGAGCACAAGAATCTGGAACCCCTCTGGAGGTGCCTGCCCTCTTAACCTAAATTTCAGCCAGTATCAGTGAGACACAGACTGATAAATAACTTATTCGTGAAGGTACAAAGTGGTGGTTTGAATAAGAAATGTGCCCCCATAGGAGTATTTAAACATTTGGTCCCCAGCTGGTGGTGCTCTTTGGGGACGTTAGGGAACCTTTAGGAAGTACAGCCTTGCCAGAGGAAGCATGTCACCGAGTGAGGGCTTTGACAGCCTCACCCCACTTGCAGTTCATTCTGTTTCATGTCTGCACTGAGGATGTGATCTTTTAGCTTCCTGCTCGGGTCACCTGCTACCATGCCTCCCCTGCCATGATGAAGGCCACTCTGAAACCATAAGGCCAAATAAATTTCTGCTACAACCGCCTTGGTCATATTATTTTATCACAGCAACAAAAAGTAACTAAAACAACCATGAATTACCAAAGTAGATTGTGAACACATGGGCCCTATTATCAAACATAACTAAATACATAACAAACACACCAGAACAACCAAGAGCTCAACATTCTCCCTTGAACTCCATGAAAGGACAATAACACTGAGATAGTGGTGACCCTACCGACTTGTCATCTGACACAGTGGGTATGTCAAGAGACTGAAGAATCTCTGCCGCTTGACAGTCCTCACTGCTTGATGCAAAGGATTTCTAGTCAGTGAGTCATCCATCTGCATCATGTCTTTGGTAAACATCTAGAACAGGTCAGGTGCCCCTCCTTAAGAGTCCTATGACACTATGTTCTGCCTGCCTTGAGCAGCTTCTGGGTTCTCTAATGTCTTATCTAACCACCTTCAGTGACTATCCCCACCCCAAAGAAATGCCTCTTTGAACCCGTGGTATCTTACTGTAGCCCTTCTCTAGCCTACTTATACGCTCACACCTATATATATCATTGTATGCAGTGTAAATGTGTGATCTGAGAGTTAATACTAGTAATTGAGACTATAATAATAAAGGGCCTATGATTGCCAATAGCCAGCTATCAAGGGAAACTGGGATTACTTGGCATTGTAGTCAATGAAACTGACTTTTACTTACGAATTTGTTATTCAATAAATGTTGACACTGTGGAAACACATCATTGTGTCTATGTTTCTGACAGTTCATTCACAAATGGCTAGAGATATGTCAATCAGTAAAGTGTCTGCTGTGAACGAATGAAGACCTGAGTGAATGCTCAGAACCCCGGCCTAAAGGCGGGTGTGGTCACCTGTGCTAAGTCATCCCTGCAGAGGGGAGTACAGACAGGCAGGTCCCTGGGGTTCTGATCCTACTTCAGACAAGCAAGCAAACAAACAAAATCCAAGGTGGACAGCACCCAAAGTTGACCTCTGACCTGCACACTTGAGCAAGGATACTGATATACATAAGAAAACAGAAATACTAACTCAAAACTGAAATCATTGCTTAAGGAATGAGAAGGGGGGGGGGGGATCTTTCCAGGGAATTTACTAGTATTTTCTTATGACAGGGTGATTCCCAAGGTTCTCTAGTCCAATCATAAGATCTGAATGCAAATGTAAAGAAAGCCATTTCACAGTTTTCACAGCTGCCTACTTTATGGTAAATAACAACCCCAACTCCTGGAAACAACAACAACAGCTGCCATGAGTGACTGTCCTCTGAGCCAAACAGCCACCATCTTGGGGAGTTCAACTGCAGTGCCTTGCAAAGATAAACCCAGCTGGGCTGGTTGATGATTTACATCCCTGCACAGAGGTTCTGAGTAGGCCACCAGATTCTCCCCTAAGTATCCAGCCACTCCCACCACCCGGCAACTCTGCCCATGGCCTGGGGGAGGGCCTAGGAGGCAAGGAAAGACTAGAGCCAGGGCTCCAACTATGCTGCTACCAGGGAAGCCTTCATCCTGCTGGGTAAGGCTTTCCAGGTGCGGCCGGTTGGGGTAGAAGTGCCCTGCCTCTCTAAGTAACCCCTCATCTAGACTCTGTAAGGAAGCCCGATAAATCCATTGGTTCCCCAGAGTGAACTTTGGTAAAATTTTGCCTCAATTTACTGTCAGTACCTTGAGAAGAGGAGTAGACATTGCTTTGTCTGCCCTAGGAAAAGTATTTTAATAAGCCACAGCTGAAATGTTTCTGGTTATAGTATTAGAATACTTCTTAGTAACCTAGTAGTTACAAGTCTTTGATAAACTGTTTCCAACGGAAGAATGTTTGCTCCAAAGACTAAAAGTTTAATTGGATTTCAGGTTGTAATTTCTTTAAAGTCTATATTTAAAGACTATATGTCATAGTTTTCAAAGGATGACTACAGTCTAATTAGCCCTCCAATTTTATAGATCATCTAAAACAATTCACCTCTCGTTCAGCTTCTTTCAAAATGGCTTCTTTCTCCTTCACTCGCTGGACAAACATCTGCTTCATCTCTTCTTCCTTCCTCTGACGTTCACCATAGAATTCGAGTCTCTTGGCTTCATAAGTCTCTTGAAGACTAAAAAAGTTATTTGTGTTACTCTTATGTTAAAAGGATGATACAGCTGTTTTGCAGGACTTTATCTGCCCCGCATTCGACCTGGTTTTATGATATACCATCATTTCTGATGACCCCCCGAACATGCCGTTGCCTACAACTCAGATGACAAGCTTTCAGTGCTACAGCTAGTAAAGCGTACTAAGATTGACTAAAAAGAAGAAAGTGTCCTCACAACTACCCACATTTTATCCCAAACATGTTCCTTTTGCAATCTTTCTTAATTGGCATCGACCTACTGGCTGAAGTAATGAAGTCACGTGACTTATCCACTTTGCTTATCTCTGAGCACCAGGCAGGTCGGCTTATCTATGATGCAGTCCTTCTTCCCTTTCTGCAGCTAGTGTATTCTAACCAGTGTGATCCCTGACATTTCCATCGAACTATTTTCCCAATCATCTCTAGGCTTCCAGCTCCTCTTCTCTCTGTGTTCTTCTGATCAGCCCTGGGCTTTCCACCCAAACCACAATGCTCCTTAGCTTTTCTCCCTGGGATATAGTTGCACCATCTGTAGAATAAGATCACACCTCTTTTAAACAACAGGCAAACAAACAAATAAACAAATTGAGTCCCCTCAGGTTCTGGCCAAACCAAGTAACTCACTGTCCTTAAAACATACCTACATGCTGAGTCTTCACCTGTTTCTGACGTCACTGCCCTCTTCCCAAGCCCATTCTGCTCTGCCATGGCCTCTCTCTGGAGGCCAAGTGCAAATGCCACTTCCTCTCTGAAGGCTTTCCCTTCTCAGTGTACTGGTCCTTCCAAAGAACCTCCAGGGCATTTACATCCCGTCTCCCCTCGTCTTTAATAGATCAAATACTGAAAACGGGTACAGGATCTTTGGTCATCTTTGTTACCTGTCTATCCAGCAAAGCTATCTAGACACTAGTTTCTACCTAACTGTTTCTTTAGAGACAGCTACTTCTCACAAGTAGAGACGATTCTAACCGAGCAGACACTGTCCTGGAACTCTAGGGATAGCTCCCTTTGCTTACTTGTATAATTCCAGAGGAACAACAATAAACCTTCCAATATGTCAAAAAGGCCAAGCCTTCCCATTTGAGCTTATTGTATGAATACCCTGAGGCTTAGTCAAGAATACAAATTCACTTTCCTGGTATGTCAGTCAGAAATTTCTACTGCACTTAAGACATTAAATATATCTGGACTTTAAAATTCATAAGACTTTGGATTCAGAGTTTTTATTAATATTCAGTAAGATGAAGGAAAAGCAGTACGAAATGTTGCATGACAGCTATGATGGCTGAGAGTTAGAATATGCACAGCAGGTCTTCTAAGAAGATCATATCCTAAATATTTGTAAGAACATTTTCATTAAGAACAAAATGTATCACTGTGCAAAATATCCTAAGTACTACATGACTGCCTCTACTACCAAGGAGGCAGCTTACACAGTATTAGGCTTTTTGGGTTTTGTTTGTGTCTCACTTTAAAGAAGCTCCTAAAAATATATTAGCTATTTTGAAAAATTTCAGAAACTTCACTCCCTTTTATAGGTAGAACTGGTAAGTCTTTTTTTAAAACATATAAGTAATAATGTCTTGACTTCTTATTAAATGACATTTGAAATAATGCTTTATTACTTTATCTATACACACACCCAGGAAGAAAATAAATGGAACTGGTGAAAAGAAAAGGTCTAAACTTTAATGACTATATGACACCAGCAACAGATGGTCCAAACAGAACAGATTCTTCATGTCCACAGCAAGCCTGGAGACCAAGCACTGGCATTCTAATTTCCGGTGAGGAAACAGTTCAGCAAACCTAACTGACACAGCTGAAAAGCTGGAAGCTGCAATGTGAACCAGCTCAGACCTCCTCAGAGCCCACACCAATCACACCAGAGCTGATAGCCTCACACCAATCACACCAGAGCTGATGGCCTCGCACCAATCACACCAGAGCTGATGGCCTCACACCAATCACACCAGAGCTGATGGCCTCGCACCAATCACACCAGAGCTGATGGCCTCGCACCAATCACACCAGAGCTGATGGCCTCAGCTGAGAGCTCAGTTGATGGACAGAGATGTGCTGCTCCTGCATGCTTCTCATCACACCATACTACTTCTGATTTCCCAGGATACAGATCATGGGGCCAATTCTAATTTTAAAGATATAGTATCATTCTAAGGTGCCACAGAAACTCTTAGTAGATCTGAAGGACATGGTTAGTACTGTGAAATGCACAAACCGCTGTTAAATAAACTTGAAAAGTTCCTGCTATACTAGTCCCCTCTCTAGGATCAAATTAGCTTGTTGTCACTGAGTATGAAATGCCATTATTTTACAATATCATAGATCTGACTAACTTGAAGCAAACAGGGAAAAGTTCTTACATCATCAAGTCTACAAGCCTTTTCACAGAGATTTTCATGTTTCTTGTACAGTTCAAATAAACATGATGAACTTCTAAGTCTATTAAATGCATAAAGTTACTCATTTCTTCAGAGTTTCAAAGATAAAATTTCAGTATAGCTAAAATGGTTAAGAAACTCTACAGCACTATATAAATCTTCCTTTCAAAACTATGGGTCCTAGCTAGATGGGGCATATATCTGTATTCCAAGTGCCTGGGAGAAAGAAGGAAGATAATATGCATTTAAGACCAGCCTGGGCTGTACAGCAAGCTCCAGTCGGTACTGCATGGTGAGACCCTATCTCAACAAACTGAGTACAATATTTGCCTGAGTCTGAGTCATCACAAAACAAGAACTACAGGTCCTAACACATTTCAGTGACAGTGATTTTGTATGAAGAGTTTACAGAAAATAATTGTGAAAACAGACCAGATGTGACCATCTAAAATTATTAAACTTGGGTATTTAAATTTTCATGAAAGTCTATTTTATAACTTAAATAATACAAAAATGTTAAGGCCAGATGTGATAGGGACATCTTAAATCCCAGTACTCAGTGGTCAGAGGCAGGCAGGTCTTTGTGAGTTCAAGGCTAGCATGGTCTATACAACGAGTTCCAGGCCAGCTAAGTTACATAGTGAACTCAAGTCTCAAAAAAAAAATTTTTAAGTGCTTATGTATGTATACAGATACATTTATTTTATTAAAACTCTAAGTGTATTTTCTATGCTTAGACCTCATGACAAGAATAGTAGATTGGAATATCAAGTATGACTCGGTATAACCATTAGAAATAAGAAGAAGATGGAAAAACAAACTGAAGAAATAAAGGGCATCCTAACAGGCCCATGTAACATTTCTATTCATTGCTAGGTTGATATGATACAGATTTTACATGCCAAGCAAATTAAGAAGAATTAAATGGGAAAGAGTCCTCAGAAAACAGAAAGAAACTTCATGGAACTATGAACAATGAAGGCTTTCTATGTATTAGGCTACAATGAACTTCTACAAACCTCATCATATCTCACAAAATGACAAGGTACTACCTTGTACCTTGTAGTTTGCCTCAGCCTGGCCTACAAAATACAGAATCTGGTTTAGAGAAATTCCTCACTCATTAAGTGAGCAGCCTGGGAAGGACAGAGGCTGTCCTCACACTGGGGTCCGCTTACCCTCTCTTGTCCTCTGCCAGGAACCTCCAGGGCTGCCCCCTCCTCCTTCTGGGCTTTGTTCTGGTTTTCCCATTTATTATAGCTCAAAATGCATTACTGCCCCAAGGGCATCTCTCCTAATCTTCCGGCTTAACCTAAATCACCCCACCTCATACTCTGTCTACCTTTCCTTTAGTGCACGTATCACAATTAAAATTTATTGTCCAACTGAGAATTTAATTTTGGCACCCCTTGTCTACAAGCTTGTTAACTCCAAGACAGTTGAATTCTACAAGCCACCAGCACTGAGCCCAGAGCCTTACAAATAGTAGACACTTGGGCAGAAGGTGTAGCCCAGTGGGTAGTGTGCACATTTACCATATATGAGAAGCTTCTGTTTATTAAAAAACTTACTCCTTTATCAAGTATTGCTCAATATTTACTACCGAGTTATTATCTCAGCTTTACCTTCCTCTTAAATTCCAGACTCATCCTGAATGCTTAATGAGCTGCTTAGATTTAACATTTTCATAATTTCCTGATCATAACCCCACCACTAAACTTTCTTCCTTTCCCAACTTGCTTATGTCAGTGACCACCATTTGCCCTGTTTCTTAGGTGGCTGAAGTAATTTTTAATTCATCTTTTTTTGGCATCCCATATTCAAGCCAATCTTTCAATAACTCCTTAAAATTGTATATACTAATAAATATGTTAGCATTCTTGTCCAAGCCTCTATCTTCCCATGTCTGGCCTCTTAGCTTAGTCTCTCAATGTTCACTTCTGGTTGCCCTACCCCATTATCTCTTGTTCACACAAGGCCAAATACCTTCTTCACACCCCTGCCCCTGGGTACTACAAGGGCTAGGTTATGTCTGTCTGACCCATGTGCATACATACCCAGTAGCTAGCATGCTGAGCAGACGGATGGCAGATAAACAATAATTACTGGCTGAAGGAACAGTTTAAAATGCAGATTCCTAGGCTCCATCCCTGGAAATTCTGACCCTGCATTTCTTAGTCATCTACAGGTGACTGATGCTGAGTCCACCAGGTAACCCGGATCTCTCTTCTTGGGATACTTCATAGCTGTCCTGTTTGCTGTCACTTGGGATCTCTGCCTTCTCAGTAGACACAGACCTCTGAATTGTCCCTGAGACTTGGAAGAAATGAGAAGCAAAACCTCCTCTGGGAAACACTAGGGAAGCCAACTTGAAATGGTTAATCTTCAAGAAAGATATAATACGATCAGAAAAATTGTCAGCTTATCAGAACTATTGGCATACAGCATTAATTTGGTGGAAGGGGTTAAACACATACAATTCTTAATTTTTTATGTCAGAGAAACTAAACCACAAATGAAATTTAAATTTAACTTCATCTATGATTAAGTCTTCCACAAGGTCAACTGAAATCTAAACAATGACTGGATATCCTCATGCTCCTTCCTAGCGTGTTTATTTGGAGACAGGTGTTAACAGCTAAGGGAATTAATGAATGCCAACAGTGGAATGGAAAAGAAACCTCACTCTCAAAGAAATTCAAAATTGTGTTTACCCTAAGGACGCTTCTTTACCCACGCAGAACTGTTCTAGAGTGTTTTATCCAATCAAACTTGATTGAGTACATAAGGAATTAGGATTCTATACAAGTGTATATTCATTTTTAAAATTCAGTGATAGCATATAACCCCATATAAAGTTACCAAAGAAATTCAAAATACAAAAGGAAAGTTATCAAAGAAACATTAAATGGTCTAGTCATTGAACAAGGTCTTTACATCTAAAATTCTTGTAACTATAAGACACATTTTGAACTCAGACTCCCTACAAGGAAAAGATATTAGATTTTTGGCTAAGCTTCAGTTACTCCAAATGTTCCTTCATAAAAAGAGCAAGTAATGAAGACTTGACTAATTTACTACGACTTGTGCAATAATCATTATACTTGTATTTGTTTCTAGGCACACACACACACACAAACCCACAGCAGGCAAACCAGAAGAGGGGAGAGTCTCAGTTATTTATAGACTAAAATCACACCTTCTATTTGCTTAACTCCTTTTTCCCCCTGTTCAGGGCCTGATACATGCCAGCACTCATAACACTGAACACAAGTCCCCACTCCACCTTTTTTTCCTTTTCATTTGAGACAAGATATTACTATATTGCCCAAGTTGGCCCTGAACGGGTTCTACAGTCCCGGCAGGCCTTGCACTTGCAAGCTTCCCAAGCTGCTGTATAAAAGGACTGTTTTTTTCTTAGCTCCTTTAGAGTCAAGCATAATCCTCAGAATTGAGGAGAAACAGCTTATTGGCGAAGTCAAATGAGTCAGTTTCACAGATTTCCAAAACTACATCCCATCACTCTGGATACTGAAGAGAGGGTAGCCTCTTCTAGCTGCCTCTGTTCCTGCCTTCCTCCTCAAGCCTCCTTACCTGAGGGGCTTTTTCTCTGGGCCCACGTCTGCAAAGCCCATCTCCTCCAGTTTGCAACGCCGGTAAAGCTCATAGTGCCGTGTATGGGTCTGCTCCCGCAGATCCTCCATGTTTGTGCAAATCAGCATTTCCCGCAGCTTTACAAAGTCACAGTGATGTTCATTTTCCACTAGCCGGAGAAAAACAAAAGAAAATGTTAGCTTTTAATTCCTGGCACACAGCTAGTGCTTGTCAAATGAGCAAGTAAATGAACCACAAATGAAATGACAAACAGCAAATGGTCAACTCTGATTAATGGCTACTATCATTACATACAGGTAACCAAGGAAGAAACTCTTGCATTAGATACACTGAATTACAGGTAATATTATTAACAGACTGAGAGATCTGCTGCAAATACAGTAGCAAATGGATAAAAAGAAAATAGCAAAGAAATATTTCCATTGCTATATGTTCCAGGTTCACTAATATTTTGTTAGTTTACCAACTCTACACTCAGGACATCTTACATAGTACTTTAAAAAGAATAAGTAACATTATTTCACTCTGAAGTAGTAAATTCTGTTAAGATCTATAATGATCAAATTCTTTTTCTACAATATTAAATTTATGAATTTATATTAAATATTATTCAAAATTAATAAATACATTGGTATGGTTATTCTATTTTTACAATTACCAAAAGACTATAACTAGCTATATTACAGTGACCAAGACTTTTAAATAAAAATTTCTAAATTTATTTATTTAGTTGAGACAGGCTTCATGTGTTGCACAAATTGGCATCAATCTTGAAATCTTCTGGCTTTCACCTCCCAAGGAGCTAGGACTAGAGGCATACCATACCTGGTTTATTTCACATTTGAATTAAATTAAAAAGTTTTCCCAGTTTTTTACATTTATTTAAAATTATTATCATCTGGGCATGGTGGTATATGCTTAGAATCCCAGTACTCCAGAGGTAGAGACAAGAGTACCAAAATTTCCAAGCCAGCTGCACTACACAGCAAGACCATTTCATAAAATCAAAATCAACACCCCAAAGGTCAGTTAAAATATAAGAAACACTCTGAAGCCAGTGACAGTACAAGTGATGTATTTCCATTTAACACCATTAGAATTAAGGCCAAATGGGGTGGTGCAGGTTTATAATGCCCCTCAAACAGGAGTTCCAGGCCAGCCTGGGCTACAAAGCAAAGCAGAATCTGAAAACTTCAAAACAAAAAGCTTACTATAATGCCAGATAAGCAGATTTACCTTTTTAAGTTGGCTTACTAGTTCCTTTTGAAAATAGTTTAGCAATACTTTGATCAGAAAACATATAGATATTCTCAAGATGGTATACTGTGCCCTGTCCTACACAGGGCATTTCATATCATGTTGGGGTTTTTGTTTGTTTGTTTGTTTTGTTTTGGGGTTTTTGTTTTTGTTTTTTGACACATGGTTTCTCTGTGTAGCCTTGGAACTCTGTGTAGTCCTGGGACTCGCTCTGTAGACCAGCTTGGCCCTGAACTCACAGAGATCTGCCTGCCTCTGCCTCCCGAGTGCTGGACGTAAAGGTGTGCACCACCACTGCCTGGCTGCATATCATGTTTAACCACTACTTTAGATTTAAATTCTAATCAAGGACTGGGGATGGAGTTGCACAGAGCAGGCCCTAGCATGCTCGAACACACTGGCTAGATCCCCAGCATCAAAGAAAAAGCCACATTCGGATCTAAGTACATGTTCATGCATCTGACATTGTGAAGGTAACCAACAGAGGAGACAAGGTAAGACAAAGGAGACTAGGAAGGCTCTGTCCACAGAATGAACCAAGCAGTGTACAGCCAATTCCTCTGATTATTAATTATAATCCAAATAAGCATCACCTCAAACACACTTGTCAAATTCAATTTGGAGGTTAGCAGGCAACACACACATTTTCTGTCATCATTTATCTTATTTACCTTGCACAATACCCCACGGATACTGGCGAGCTCTGACCATCTTATTTCCAACCTGTATCTCATCCATACTTCCTACAACTGCAAACGGCAAGTGTCCCTGGAAAGGAACCAAACACCAATCTCATCATCTTCTACCACAGAATCAGTGACTGAAATAACAGAGAATAATTAAACAGCAATTCTACTCATCTTGGGAGATGTACTAATTATTCTACAAGTTAATTTTGGACACTACAAAGAAAAAATATTTAATGCGCATTTCCACATACAAGGCACATTGTTATTTGGAATTTTAAAAAGAAAGAAAAGGAGAAGCAGGGGAATTTTGATACATGTGACACTGTCACCAACATTTTCCCCTAAAAAACAAAGATGTTTTAGAAACTATCCACATTATATAGTATGCAAAATAATACTGTATCTACACTTAGTATATCACATATACTACTAACATAAAATGATGCTAGTGTAATTAATGCTACAGAGAGCAAGAGGAACAAGAGATGACTGAGAACACAGAGATGCATTCCAAGCTGGGCTAGGACCACGGTGGTTAGATCCAACAGAGGAAGAAAGTCTAGCATAGGGACTCCCAGGAACATGCAGCAGCTCAGCCGGGGGCTAGGAGTGCTGAATTTGTGGCCTGAAATACGGGGAGATCAATGTAAAAAGAAATAATGTTTAATATTTAGCAACTGAATAATGATTTCTAAACTGTCTGACAAATTACTAATGAACATTGAATAAAATTAGATATAAAGGCAGTTATTAACACATGGGAATCCAGATCACCTCACTTATATAATCAGGATTTTAGAGATTTAGAGTTTCCTATGATCGTGATTGTAATGGTTAATCTTCACTGTCAGCGTGACTAGATTCAGAAGCACCTGTGTGTCTCAGGTTTAACTGCAGGGAGACCCATCCTAGTCATGGGCAGCACCATCATGGGCTGGGGATCCATACATAATAGAAAGGGGACCAGCCTGGGCAGCAGCATCTACTTGTGTTTGCTTACAGCACATGCGCTGTGAGCAGCTCTGTCTGCCTCTGCTGCAAGGACTCCGATAACGTGATGGACTGAGATCTCAAACTACAAGCCAAAGTAAACGCGAGTCGGTTGTCTGAACTTTGTCATAGAAAAGCATCCAATACAGTAGTACATGCCAAATCAGAAAAGGGAAAGGAAAGAAAAAGAAGCAACAGTCAAAGTGTATTGTTAGGCAAGTAGCTAGGTGTGTATCACTTAACCCTCAGGTCAGCCCTCACGTAGACTACTAACCAAATTTTACAGACAAGTTAACAGTCTCCAGATGTTACTGTCATAAAAAGCCTGAGCCTCATGATCCTTTAAAATACAACAAAGTGCCGGGCGGTGGTGGCGCACGCCTTTAATCCCAGCACTCGGGAGGCAGAGCCAGGCGGATCTCTGTGAGTTCGAGGCCAGCCTGGTCTACAGTGCAAGATCCAGGAAAGGCGCAAAGCTACACAGAGAAACCCTGTCTCGAAAAACCAAAAAAAAAAAAAAAAAAATACAACAAAGCATTTAAGAAGTGTGAAACTTCAAGAAAAAGAAAGAATTCAGTCATCTTAGGTACACTAAATTAAGCTTTTCATTTGTACAGGTGACACTCTAAGGGAAGCTGAGGGTCAACATTAGCTTCAAGAGTTCTTCTTAAAAACTCAAAATTCTAAAGCATCCCAAGGGAGGCTGCACAGTCCTTCATGTTTTTAAAACAGGACAGGAAGGAACCAGCCTGAGGCAATTAACTACAGTTCAACTAAAGGTAAACCTGAGTCTTACAAGGATTTACTTTATTCAGGTGGACGAGAAAAAGGAAAGTGTACATAAAGACACTCAGTATCTGTTCTCAACAGCAGCAAACACTTCTACTGGATGTTCTGACATTGCACCTTATTTGAAGTCTTTTTTGGGAACACAAGTGAAAACATATCCCACAAGTCTCCCTTTATTTATGGGTCGTACATTCCAAGAACCCAATAGATGCCTGAAAGTATGACCTGTGCACAGCCCCATAAATAGTATGCTTTTTTCTATTCAGCATGCCTATGGACATTTATAAATTAGGTACCATAGAGATTAATAACTTATGACAAATCAGACAATAAACACTTTAAAAAACAACAATACATGACTGTGTCTCTTTCAAAACACTATTGTACTAGAATCACCATTGTTTTGATGATGTCAGTTGGTACAATGACTGTGATAAGATTTCATCATGCTATTCAGATTGGCTTACAACTGAAAACTAGTCATTTATTTCTTCAATTTTCCATTTTCTATGTTCACAGTAATAACTAAAACCTCAGGAAGCAAAGCCTCCGATAAGTGGGACTGCTGTGGCAACAATGTTACTCAGAAGTCAGCTTTATTTTCACACAGAACAGACTGATACTCAGTGGGGAGCTCACATTCATTGCACCATTGATCTTGGCAGTAGTGTCATCATCTGTTGGAAACTGATAGATCTGAACACCATTGACGACCAATTCACTCATGAGCTTCATCTTAAACTTCTGCAATTCACTCTTAGAAATTGTATCTGCCTTGGCAATTAATGGTATAATGTTCACCTATTAAGAAAGAAAATCCACAATCTCATCACGGAAGATTTGCTTTTGAATCATGCTGTCACAGTTTTTCCATACAAAACAATTCAGTCTCTGACAATAATTTTCTCTGACCAGGAGTTGGAAAATTATGATCCAGGTTGCTGCCTGTTCTTTATAAATCATGTAAGCTGAAACACCACCACATTTATTCATTTATTCTGCTTTCCTGTTAGAGCAGCTCAAAGGAGTCGCCATAAAGAGCATAGGAGGCTGACATATTTTACTACAAAAAGTGTAGATCTCCCTAAGCGAAACAATGACTAGTTTATCACTCTCATATATGCACAGATGTAATATTCTTATACACCCATTCCTATAAATGCTAGGTTATGATAATTTTTTAAAAAGGCTTTGGTAAAAATTAAATTTGCATTTGCATTTAGAATCTTATTATCTTCTCTCCTCCTCAAAGCATTTTCCAATCCACACAACATAAGTAGAACATAATAAACTATAAGCAAAAATCACCTGCTTAGTTCACTAACAACTTTTATTTCTTTATAAACTGGGCATTGGAGTAATTAGGTAACTGATCCCCAAGAACACTAAGAGAACAGGTGGCATTTCTCTTTCTGTCTCTTCGTTCATCCTTCACTCACCTCAGACAGGGCCTAGTCATCAGCGATGCCTGCCTACCTACAGTACTGGGAGGAAAGCGCCAGAACCAGCTGAGTGTTCTGATGCAAAGGACTGGCCTCCTCAGCACTGCTTCAGACCTCCTCTGCTAGAGAGGAAGAAAGGTGGGGTTATGAAGACTAATTCATAAACTCAGGCCTCCAGGAGATTCACGTCCACACAAAAGGCTGATGTCACCACAACTGGGTTTCACCATCATGCTTTTCTAGTAGAACCCGAACCCTCGGGCTAATGAACTAGATACACGTGAAAAAGGAGGAGAGATCACAATGTAACTTTCCAAATAGTCAAAGTAAAAATAAAGCTGCAATCCCTATTGAGTTTTTAAATGTTTTTCTCTTTTCTAATTCTGCACTGACTCAGTATATGCCTCTCTATTTACTAGCCGTCCATCCACTTCCAAGGAGATGACAATTTTGCCAACTATCTAAGAAGTGGATGGCAGAAAACTCTGCAACAATATGAGGAAACAGGGTTCATGTTGAATCCGTCAAAGTACATAAAAGTTTTAGTGCCAAGTCCTTGGTTTCAAGAATCTACACTTAGATATTCAGTAACTTATGCCACAGTTTATAAATTGTAACTGCTTCTATAACTGCATAATAAGTACAATATCAATGTGCACACAGGGAAGGAAGTAACGGATGCTGCCAAAGACGGTCATTTGTCACCATCTGAATAAGACAACAGTAACTTTCCATGTCAAGCAGCCACGTGTTTGGCTCTCAGCTCTAAGAGGAGGCCTGGGGAACCTTAAGAAGCCAGCAGTCTCCATCTCTCCCTAGTACTCTATGGAAATTAAGTTTCCAAAGCCCAGTGGGTAACAGCTACCCCTACTAGAACAACAACAATGACTATATATATACACATACATACATACACACACACACACACACACACACACACACACACACACACACACATACATATACATACACACTGTATACTCATCAAATTACTTCCAAAATTAAGTAGTTGGGGCTTGTCTTAAGTTTTTTTTTTTTAACTTGCAAGAAAGATTACAAAATTCATTCTCATTTGCTACAAAAAAGCTAAAGGCAGGGTTGTGACGGAGACCCAGTTTGAGAATTTGCTCCCATCACTTGAATAAAACAGAAGAGGGTAGACTCAATCTTCACATGAATGCGTGAATGACTAATGATGACAAACTTCTACTGTCACCAGAAAGCATTTCACTTCAAAGTGGTTGGTAGTGTGTAATATGTGTAACTCTTGGGAGGTTGGATTAGAGTACTCATGGTCTCTTTTGAAAATCCACTAACAGAGCTTATTAATACAAACTGCTCCTGGCAGAGATAAGGTGGCTGCTTGGCCAGTATAAGAACATTTGAAATAAGATTTTTGACAATTAATAAAAAAAAAATAATAGAATGAGTTAAATAGTTGTTTCCTATGTACAAAGGTAACTGTTTTGCAATACATCTCACATATCTTCATAGAAGTCTTAATGTGAGCTCACTATCCCCACATCAGTGAAAACAAAAAGCCTGGTAGTTCACTCAGTGCTACAAGCTAGTAAGTGGCCGGGCTGCAGGTGAGTGAGACAATGACCCAATTCCTCTCTATTATTTATTTCATTTTATAAATGTATTGAAGTGCTAAGAATTGAACCTAGGGCCTTGCACATGCTAGGAAAGTACCTATCCGTGAAATGTGACATTGTTATTTTTACCTTTCTTAGATAAAATACTAATATTATGATTTTTTTTTTTTTTTGAGACAAGATCTCATTCTATTGTCCAGGCTGGCTTCAAACTCCTGGTCTAAAGCAATTCTCCTGCATCAGCTTCCCCAACCAACTGGGATTACAAGTATATCACAGCACCCTAGCTTCTACTGCCTATTTCACAGTAGAATGTTAATATAACATTCTAACAACCTTCTTATACAAAATACTAAAAATAAATAAATAAATAAATAAATGAATAAATGAATAAATAAATAAATAAATAAAAAAGAGGGTGCTTAATTTCACAAGGAAGTTTACACTTTGAAATAAAAAAAAGAATGTATTTAAAATCATCAAACCTGGAGATTAGGTAATATGTATTTATAGACTACAAAAAAACAATTCTCTGTCTGTGACATACAATTGTATTCTGGCTACTTAGCCTTTACTTATATGGATTAGTTCATTTTCATATCTACACTTCAAGGCAGGGCTTCCCCTGCTTTGTACAGTAGGGAAAGAGGAAACTGAGGCACAGAGCACTAAAGCACTTGCCACAGATGAAACATCTAATAAGGGATATAATCAACATTGAAAATCACTCCCCACTGATAAACTCTATGATCTTTATAACACTGTATCATACATGTCTATCATACTCTTTTCTATAAGGCAAAATTCCACTTTTGATTTTATTCCTTTAAAAAGCACAGATTTGTATATAAACAGATTTCTTTGGGATGAGGGCAGTAACTAGTCTTTTTCAACTTTTAGATAAATATAAAAATCTTCCATGACTTAATTTATGGAACTGTTTTTATAACCTCCTAAATTTATAAATAGCTACTTGCTTCAAAAATTCAGGAACAAATTTTCTTGGTAAGGTCTAAACGAAAACATATTTCACCAAGATGAAATACTATGCTTTATAATCTTTGTCAAAGAAGTTACTCCTCTCGCTTATGTCTGAAATAAAATTATGTCAAATAAATTCTATATGAAAATTTACAGAACAATTATAACAAATGTAACAAATGTACACACTAAGAAGAGAACTTTTAGTATTTGTGTCTCATTTTCCAGACTAAATTTCCCTGGAAAAATGATTTAAAGACATACAGAGTAAAAGCTACAAAGTATGTGCACATTATCATAAAAAAACTTTAATATTCAAGTGTACTAAAATTCGAGAAGTTGGCTGCTTCCCTAATCCACCTTGCTGTCCAGGCTCTTCATGGTCAAGAGGTCAAGTGTCCTTAGAGAATGGCCTGTTGGAGCAATGAAGTAGAGGCACACATGGATACGGGAGTCGTGGTAGTTAAAAAGAGCACGCTTGATCTTCAACTCTTCTTGGAGATAGGCTTCAAACTGATCATCTATGTAATCAACTATTGGTTGATAGCTGGAAAAAAATAAGTATTTCAAAAAAATGAGTATTTCAATATTTAATACAATATATCCATGCTATCTTAGTAAGGAACTTGTACAATTCTCAAGTCTGAGGTCTGTATCTTCCAGTAATATCAGTTAGTATCTACACCAAGCAAACAGTTAACTACAGTACTAACACATAATATGTATAATCTACACACATGAAGGCAATTCTGCCAAAACATTAGGATAATCTAGCTCAGTAGTTCTCAACCTTCCTAATGCTGTGACCCTTTAATATAGTTCCCTCATGTTGTGATAACCCCCAACTATAAATTTATTTCACTGCTACTTCATAACTGTAATTTTGCTACTGTTATGAATTGTAATATAAATATCTGATATTAATGATATCTGATATGACTCCAAAGGGGTCACAACCCACTGGTTGAGAACCAATGATCTAGTTAGAAATAGTATTAAGTTGACAAAGATTCATTTATACATCCATTCACACACTAGATTCAGTTCTTTAAGACTTTTACAATGCTCCAAGCAGTTAGGAGCTGAACATACAATTAAAATGATACATGGCATATTGTTTAATTGGTTCAAAAAAGGAAAAGTTATCAACTAAAATATACAGGTCAAGGTGACTGACTTCCTGTTTTCAGTACATCTACAGGCATAAAAATTTTAACCCACAAAAGAGGAAAAGCCAGTTATCAACTGAAAATATCTAACTGGTAATGCTGGCATGGTATTATTTTCAGTTAATTATAAACAGGGCAATTATATCTTGTGTTCCATTTCTTGCCCAGATAACCCTCATATTCCCTCTAGCTGTCTCAGTCTATTATTATTCCTCTGAAATACAAATCAAATCACTATACTCGAAAACAGTGTAGTTAATCTTGGATCATGATGAGTATATCAACTTTCCACTTCATTTTGATATGCTAAATTAATGCTTATGCAACTTATCTTTATGTGTTCATGTATGCAGGTGTACATGTGTGCCCCTATGTATGGAACTAGAGGACAACCTCAGAACACAGCTGTTTTGTTTATTGAAACAAGTCATCTCATTAGCTTGGGGCCTGCAGATTCTGCGAGGCTGGCTGGCTGGCTAGCCCCAAGGGTCCTCAGTCTCCAACTCTCCAGCACTGAGATTAAAAGCATGAGCCACTGTGCCCACTTTTTTATTTTTTCATATGGGTTCTGGAGAGCAGGTCATCATACTTCAGCACTTCACTGACTGGACTATCTCCCTAGCCCTTCTACCTTTCTGCTGTTAACTGACTTCATTAAATAATCTAGGACCATAAATAAAACAATAGTAAGTCAAACATTATGAGGATTTACAAATTAAAAACACCACAGAGGGGTTGGGGATTTAGCTCAGTGGTAGAGCGCTTGCCTAGCAAGCACAAGGCCCTGGGTTCCGTCCTCAGCTCCGGAAAGTTAAAAAAAAAAATAAAAATTTAAAAAAACACCATAGAAACACATATCTGTCATGAAGATACTTTAATAGTTCAAAAACAGTTTCTTTCCTAATCCACCTTGATGCCTGGGCTCTGAACACTCCATGGACATCTTTGTAACCCTACAGAAGAGCAGTGAAAGTAAATGTATACACGTAGATAAAACTGAATTCTTTTACAATTGTCTGATAATTCTTGGAGACCAGTATTTCTTTTAAAACACAGAATAGTATATTCTCTCACTATAGACAGCAAACAGTTTGTGAAGAAAGCCAGCATCTTCATAATTCTGTTTCTATAAGAATTAGCATAATGCCTTGAACATTATAAGAACTGGGTTCATTATCAGAATGATTACTACCAATACCAAAAAAAGTTCCTTAGAATACTGGTCTAAACATGACTCGGTAATATTCTCTTCCAAAAAAATGAGGAGTAAAACCTTTAAGTACAGACATAAAAATTTTAAAGAAGCATTTATTAATGACTTAAAATAGGTTAGTAATGACTTATTACACAACTTAAATAACGATGAATGTTCATGGAGATGACTGTCTTAAAATTTTTCAAAAATAAAACCATAAATACTATTAGTCAAACAAACAGGAGTTCTTCCATAGTAATTTATTCTGTTTCTAATTCCAGTAAATATAAAACACCATTTCAATGAGAAGACAGTGACTTAACATTAAACTCACATCCTTAACAATACCAAATTGCTCAACAGGTATTAAGATATCAAGGTCAAAACTGAAGAGGAAAGGGAAAACTAGAGAGTTAAGCCGATATGAACTGACGTTCCCAGAAAAGGCATCCTTCTATATGGCCGCATGACTGATTAGCTGAAATGTTACAGTTCCAGAATCGAAATATCTTGGGCTACTTTCAGACTCCCTAAAGAGCCATTTATTACTTACTTACCTGTCTGTCTGTATGCTCAGGACATCCTCAGGACAATCAAGTCAAGTCTTAGGGTATGAAGGCCAAGAATGTCATCAGAGCAGCTGAGACCTTCAACTGATTTCACTGATTCACTGAAACCAACTTAACTGATATTTCCACCAAAGTATCTGAAAAGAGTTTTGATTTGTGACTTTGTTCTGTTACTACAAACTGTTGGCCACATGGGAATATGTTATTTTGGACAAACTGAATCTGTGTTTCAGGGCCAAAGCCAGTAATCTTTGGCTCCAAAATAAACTATCCATTATTCACGCTGAGAACTGTTTTTACATCAATGGTCTGGGGCACTCAATATGACCAAAGCATGATCCACATTCGCTGGAGAAGTCACCTGGATCATCAACAGGTGTCACGGCCCCTTATGCCAACTATCTGGGACTGCCTTCTTCCTGGGGCTCAGCCTTCTCTGGGCTTGGTCAACCATCCCTTGGCTTGTTCTGAGCTGGCTGTTAGGACACTATTTATTTAGATACCTTCTGTGTTGTTTCAGAGCATTTGGTTGACTTTTGTTTGTTTGCAGAATGCCCAGTTTATCTAACAACATTCGGCCTGTTCTCCTTGCACTCTAATATTTAATTCAAAAACAGAGGAAATATTTGGAGAAAAACAGCCATTTGGTAATCCAGTTGGCTTTGTACCTGGTAATTTGTGTTGACCTTGCAAGTACTTGAAGAAAAATGAGAAAACCTAAGTAAAGTTAACTCTACATTACTCTAAATGGGAAACATTTTCTTATACTGTTTTGGATTTTCCTCACACACTAAACTCAAAAGTCCTAGGCATAGAGTTAAAGGTCACAGATGAGCAGCTTGCTATAATTGAAAATTTAAAGCATCTGAAGAATGAAAACAAGACAAAATTGGCAACCTGAAATCAGTAAGTTTTAGAAACTTTTTCTACATTAAAGGAGATAAGGAAGGACTGAATGCAGGTAATTGGGTGCGAGTTATGAAATGCATGATTCTGTCATGCATTTTTTTTTTTTTTTTTGGTTTGGGTGGTGGATAAGTACATAAAATTTATTTGATACCAAAAGCATAATTTTTTTCCCCAAAAACAGGGTTTCTCCATGTAGTTTTGGTATCTGACCTGGATCTCGCTCTGTAGACCAGGCTGGCCTCAAACTTACAGAGATCCTCCTGGCTCTGCCTCCCGAGGGCTGGGATTAAAGGCGTGCACTCAGCCATTAAAGGCTAGGCTCACAACCAAAAGCAAAAATTTTAATGTGAATCTCCACAGTTTCCATTTCAAATGCCTACTCTAACTATATAGAAGTTCGTTAAGTTGTGTAGGCATTTTGTCTAGATAATTTTGGTGTGTAAATTTTCATTTATTACCAAGTACTTTTAATGATAATAATTTTTTTTTAAAAGAACATTGTCATAGTTTGCTGTTGCTATGAATTACACTACAGCCAACAGCAACTTGGAGAAGAAAGGGTTTCTTTCATCTTATACTTCCATGTATAAGACAGCCCATCACCCACCAAAGCCAAGGCAGGAACTGAAGCAGAGACCATGAAGGAATGCTGTTTACTGGCTTGCTTCCTCTGGCTTGCTCAGTCTCCTTTCTTCTACAATGCAGACTTATCTAATCAGGCATGGAACTGCCCACAGTGGGCAGAGCCCTCCCACATCAATTGTTAATCAAGAAAATATATATATATATATATATATATTTTTTTTTTGGTTTTTCGAGACAGGGTTTCTCTGTGTAGCTTTGCGCCTCTCCTGGAACTCACTTGGTAGCCCAGGCTGGCCTCAAACTCACAGAGATCCGCCTGGCTCTGCCTCCCGAGTGCTGGGATTAAAGGCGTGTGCCACCACCGCCCGGCTCAAGAAAATATTTTTACAGAAAATATTTTACAGACATGCTCACAGGCCAATTTGATGAAGGCAATTCCTCAGTTGAGGTTCCCTCTTCCCAAAAGGTATATCAATTTGACAAAAAACATGAGTAATCAAAAAACATGAATTAATAAGAAAAATTTAGAGACTGCATCAGAACTAAAAATAAATTCTGAGAAACCTAACTATGCCCAACCCATTCTTCTCATATATCCTGATACCATGATTCTTCCCCTCCTTTATCTCCAAGCAAAATAAAATTCATTATTAAAGAAAAAGATTGTATGGTCTATTTTATGATTAAAATCTAGTGGGAAGAGTCATCTCATACTATATTAAAAACTCAATTTAGAAAAGCAACTTTCTGTTGATGGAAATCTAACTCTACATAACAAGCTTCACCTTTGACCCTTTTCCTTTCACTAGGCCTTTCATATATACATATTTATATTTAGATTTTGGTTTTGGTTTTAGTTTTTTTAGTTTTTTTAGTTTTTGTTTTTCGAGACAGGGTTTCTCTTTATAGCTTTGCGCCTTTCCTGGATCTCGCTCTGTAGACCAGACTGGCCTTGAACTCACAAAGATCCGCCTGCTTCTGCCTCCTGAGTACTGGGATTAAAGGCGTGTGCCACCACCGCCGGCTCCTTTCTTATATCTTAACAACATAGAGATGCAAACTTTCTACTTTGTTTTACTAAGAAACACATCGGCTAGGTTATACTTGGTCATTAAGCTGTTTTCATGTGAAAGAAAACTAACTCTGCCCCCCAAATTCCTAAGAATAACTAATTAAAAAAAAAATTGTGGCTACTTCATTTTACATGAAAGAAAACATACTAAGCACTAAAATTACTATTCTTGGCATGCCTAACTTAAGATGTGTATTTAAGTATATATTTATATATGTAAATAAAGCATCTTAAAATGATTTTTGCCTATTGCTTCTTTTAAAAAAAATTTTTTTTGAGATGGGGTTTCTCTGTGTAGCTTTGGAGTCTTTCCTGGAACTTACTCTGTAGCCCAGGCTGGCCTTGACCTCATAGAGATCTGCCTGCCTCTGCCTCCCAGAGTGCTGGGATTAAAGGCATGTGCCAACACTACCCAGCTTAATTTTTATTTATGTGCATATTTGTGTGTATGTGTGTGTGTGTGAGAGAGAAAGAGACAGAGACAGAGACAGAGAGACACCATGCATCTGCCCTCACAATCCAGAACAGGGCACTGGCTTCTCTGGACTGCAGTCCCAGGTGGTTGTGAGGCACCCAGCAAGGGTGCAGGAACTGAATTCTGACTCTGGAAGAGCAGCAACAACTCTCAACCACTGAGCCACTTCTGCTCTTACCACTGCCTCTTTAAAAAAAATTATAAGTTTTTCATAAGATGCAAACAATTTAATACTAGGGGAAAATCATTTCAAACCCTGCTTAAAAGAGTACCCATGCCTTTTTTTTTTATCATAAATGTAAGTTTTAAGTAGATTTAGAACAATTAACATCTCTGTAAGTTTTCAAGAAAGGTAAAGCACTTGTTAAAAGATTTTTATTTCTTTATACCATACTGTGTTTAACTTTAGTTATAATACTCCGAATATATCATAAATCAATGTTGTGTGAGACACAGACAGTGAAAAAGAGTATAATAAATCAGCCTGGATCCTCCTGCCTCTGCCTCCCGAGTGTTGGGATTAAAGGCGTGAGCCACCACCGCCCAGCTACTCTTTGTCATCTTTATCAGAACCTAGGAATGGGCCTTCAAGCATCGTGAGAAATAAAACAATATTTGACCTCACCTGCACAAAATGTAATGCTTTGTAAAGAGGCGGGGATGTGAACTCAAGTTCCCAGCAAACACAATACCTGTGTTACATTCTATAAGGCTGAATGACTGTAACTTCTGTGACTTTGAAGCGCTCTATTAGTAGGAATGTTACAGTTAGAGTAAAATTATGTACGAAGACTGTGATGTAGACAGGAAGTTATACCTATATAGGTCTTAGTCCCTAATCCAATGAAATTGACTCAGGAGATCAAGTGTCTTGGCCCTCTGTTTAAGCTCATTTAAAAATACTTTTACTTACATACAAACCAGTTCTAAGTTGATGTAACCAATAATAACATTTAGAGTGAGGCAGCCTGTACTGCCTGTTGACTTTTTTCTGGAGGGTCCATATGAATCATTTCCTGATAGGCTGAAAGATCACATCCTAACCTGGATAACACAGACTCAGTTCATACAAAATGACTCTGGAAAACAACTTGTAATAATGAAACTATACATATGTATTTCAGAAAGGATAATGAAAAGTTACACCAATATATTCCTTCCTTTCATAGTCCAAAATCAATACAGAATCTACAATTAACCTCTATAATACTACTGGGAAAAATGGACAAGAAATGACATAAGATAAAACTAAGGCCGGGCGGTGGTGGCGCACGCCTTTAATCCCAGCACTCGGGAGGCAGAGCCAGGCGGATCTCTGTGAGTTCGAGGCCAGCCTGGTCTCCAAAGTGAGTTCCAGGAAAGGCGCAAAGCTACACAGAGAAACCCTGTCTCGAAAAACCAAAAAAAAAAAAAAACAACAAAAAACTAAGCTAGAATTTCATTATTAAAAACTTTAATACAGGTTCATCTAGACAAGCAGTTCTCAAACTGTGGGCTGTGACCCCTTTTGGGGATTGCAGATCAGATATCCTATATATCAGATATTTACATTTTAATTCATAACAGAAGCAAAATGAGTTATAAAATAGCAACTAAATAATTTTGTAGTTGGGGTCACCACAACATGAGGAACTGTATTAAAGGGCTGAAGAATTGGGAAGGCTGAGAAACACTGATCTGGACAGCTCTCACTGAAGAACATTTTTATAAGGCTAGGGCTGTGTATTATCTTGTTTTTTCATATTGCCAGTGTTTTTGCAATGGGACCTGGACACTGGAGTTAGTTCACTGGTCGTGTGTATGAGACGAGTTTCTAGCCCACCTATGCTGACTAGGGGTTCAGTTCTATTTTTACTGTCTCCTAAACTTGGTTGACTTCAGATGAAGGAGGAAGAACCTACAGCGTGACTTTAGGAGACTTGGGATTGATTCTATAGTGCAGAGGCTGGAGTGGTACTAACTCTGGGGTTACTAGGGGTTCACTGGGGTCTCAGTGGTAGTGTGAGGCTGTTTAAGTAAAGTCCCAGGATAGGGAAAGAAGGGGAGGCCAGTGTTTCAGGAAGATGCTGGGGCCAATGGGGCAGAAGTTAGAGCCAGTGGGTTTATTAACAGAGTTGCAGTGTGGGCTACTGGGACAAGGTTGGGAGTGAGGGGATTCATCAAGAGAGCCCATGAGTGCAGCTCATTGCTGGGCTTGAAGTGATGTGGGATGAGAGGCTGGGGGAATTCACCAAAAATGCCTGCCATGTGGCTTCTGTCTTACTCTAAACCTAGGTAGACTGTCTGATTGGATTTAAGGCCTGCTTAATTAGAGAGAGCTCATGCCTGGTACTGTGACCTACTAAGACCCCCAAGTATACATATATTACACAACTCAAGGTCCAAGAACACCACAGAACAGGGATTGAAAAAACTATTAAGAGCCTGAGGACAGGAGAACTGCTGTGAAATATTGTCTTCTAGACATGACAGGGATGTTGTACCTATAACTCTCAACAGCCATGGTTGCCCAGAGTCCACAGCAATTCCAGTGTTAATGGGGAAAGGCTCATAGAGCCTCAACCCCAGCTGAGCTACAGATAGGGAAGGTCAACGAGATTACCCATGTCAAGCCATGCCGTGCGTGCGTGCGTGCGTGCATGTTTGACGTACATATGCATGTGTGTATGCATTCTATATACATATATATATGATAGACATAATTCTGAGAAAGAATGTGAGACAGGCAAAGGACAGATGAAGGTGAGGAGAGAGGATGAATATGGTCAAAGTGCATTATACTCATATATGAGAGTCTCAATAAGTTTCCTATAATACTTAATAATGTAAGTGGCTATTTTGCTGGAAATTTGACAGGAAAAAGAAATAAATTCATAGACAAGATATATAACCACTGTATACGCTTGCCCTTATATGTCTTATACATCTTTTTCTCAACAAGGTAAGTCTAAAAATTAGTGAAAATATTCACTGACTATACACTAAATAGCAGAAAATAATTACAACTATTTTATTAAATACATATTTTAATACTGTGATTTAATTATTCTAAAGAAATATGACAACTCGATAGAAAAATACAAACTTGTCAATAACAACAAAACATTGATCAGTTGCTAAAGAAAGAAAAGAAAAAAATTGTGTCTGGGAAGCAAAGTCATGTATTATGTCAGCAGAAAATAAAATTGCAGCTTAAGAGGAAGAAGGCAGTCTTCATCCAGAAATAAAACTTGTCTTATTACAAGAAAGGGGACAAACAAAAGCCACATACCTCTCTTCTTTATTTATTTGGTCACCGAATCCCACTGTATTTACAATGGTCAGTTTCAAGCGAACATTACTTTCCTGGAGTTCGTATGTCTCCGCTCTAAGTCTAACACATGGACAGAAATGGGAGGATTCAAGCTCTTCAAAATTAGTATTAAACAATGTGTTAATCAGTGTTGACTTTCCAATTCCAGTCTCTCCTGAAAGAAACAAAGCATATCTTCACAAGTGCAGAGGACCACTGGGAAGAATCACACATCTTACTCTGGAATGGCTAGAAGGATTCCAACCATTTCAAAGACTAAGTTGCTATAAAAGAAAGTTAGGCTAAGCCTGGTCCTAAGTCACTCGAGGACAATGATTATACATGCTAAGTCACTCTGACCTCTGAAGAGAGTATCAAAAGTTTAAAAAAAAAAAGTCTGAAGTTAAGCAAAACAAAACTAGTAGAATTTAAACAACTCCCGAGATCCAGAGAGTCATTAACCTTAGACACAAGAATCATCATGCTTATAGGAAGGATGACGTGAGCACAGGAACACGAATCTTGGAAAACCTGGAGGAGTTGTTACTGGCACTCACCCACACAGAGAATATTAAAGCAGAAGCCTTGCTGAATGGATCTGTCAACCAGCTGATCAGGTAAACTTTCAAAACCAACATGGCCACACATAGTCAAGGAACGGGGATGTTCTTTGTTCTGAAGAAAAACAAAACAAATAACTTTGATTTAATTATTTTTTATATTTGGTATTTGGTTTAATTAATGTAGGACATAGGCACACTTGAAAGGATAAATGTAATTTATCAAAGCAACTGAAGATTTCACTTCTGTTTCTCGCTGAAGACAAAAGTGCTTAGGTAAATTTGTGAAACTAGAAACCAGTGTTGAGCCTCCCAAAACACTCACTTCTCACTCCTTTTGTATGACAAAAGTCCAGCACAATTTTTAACATTAAAACATGTGACTTCCAAAACCAAGAAAACATCCAAGTAAACTATGGCATATTCACTGACAAAAATGAGAAATTTATTGTTATGAAGTATGTTTACATATAAATCTTAAATAACTAGGAAAATCCTGATTGGGGAACAGAGGTCTAGATAGTGGCATTTTTACATTCTGAACTATAAGGGTATATTTGTACTTCATGTTACAGGAAAGAATCTACATATATCCATTATAAATAACTCAACACATACACACTGCTAACATTCTGAGTGGAACTCTAACCTAGATGGAATGCAAGGATCAGTGGCCTTGGCAATAAGCAAACTCAGAGAGAAAGAGGATGGCAGGGAGGGGAAATGCAGAGACCACAGGGAGAGACGCACCCAGATGAGTCCCAGAGATAAGGCTGACCCTGTGACCAGAGGGACTAAACTCTGGGATCACTTGCCGCCTTTGCTCCTTTCCCCCATAAAGTTTTTATGAGCTGAAGCTCCCGGTGAGGGAGGGAGGGAGGGAGGAAGGAAGGGAGGGAGGGAGGGAGGGAGGGGAGCAGGAAGGGCAGTGAGGAGGAGAGGAAAAGGGGAAAAAAGAGTAAAGACTGCACTCCCGGTTAAAGATTCTGTGGGACCAAATGACTGCAGTCTGACATTATGGAGAGTGAACTACTGCGAATCAGAACCAAAGGACCCTGGGTTAACTTAACAAACGATGTTAAGTCCCTCTGAAAGCTACCCATGCCTACCCCTGCAGCTGACCTCACGTCCTGGGGACCATCAAAACCTTGTAAGGTCTTCATAACAGACCACTAGCTGTCAATCCAATAGCTAAGAATGGTGATAGCAGTAAGGATGTATGAAAAGCTGCAAGGAATCCTGGTTTGTGTGTGTGTGTGTGTGTGTGTGTGTGTGTACACGAAGTTATGAAACTTAGGCTGACAATGCTCCCCACAGTAGTCACGGACTATCAAACAAAAACCACAGTACTGGACTGAGAAACCTCTTTTCTGTTTCTAACAGAAAATATTCTTTCTGTGGCACATACAATATGTGGTAAATCAAGTTTCTAACAGCTATAACATGATAAAGTATTATGGAACTATTTTTGTTGATTTGGGTTTGTAGGTAAGTTATGTGGTTGCTCTTCTTCTAAGTACACAGATGCTCTGGGTCCAATGTGCCAACAATGCCTCTCTCGTCAGCCTGTCCTCCTGTTTCCTGCTGTCCGTTTGTCTTTCTTTTCTCTCCTCTCTCGTCAGCCTGTCCTCCTGTTTCCTGTTGTCAGTTTGTCTTTTTCTTTTCTCTCTTCTCTTGGTCCTTCAGAAAACCTAACTATTTGCTGTCTCCTTCAGTTTTTTGAAAAACTATCCTTCTGTGTTCCAAACTACAATTACAGGGGTTTTCTCCCTTTCCTGCTCATAGGATAATGTACTGTTCAAGGTCTTTGTTGAAATGTAACAGTCTCTAACTCTTTTATTTTAGCTAAAAGAAAAGAAGAAGAGGAACTCTTTCAAATTCCAATGAGGCCTAAGGAAGAAGTAAATCAAAAACTTAGGACTTAACACTATGTGTACAGATAATATTACTTTGCTATATTAAATCAAGTATGCAAGTTGGATCCAACTCTTGTTAAGAGAAATGAAATAAACAATAAAAAGTAAGTATAAGTTTATATTTCAGGAAAATGGGAAAAAATTAATATTTTAGATAAGGATGCATTTTTTTTCTACAATAAAATAAGATTTCATTCAAAAAATAAAAGAGGTGGAGCAAAACTGAAAGAGTTTATGACCAAGTTGCCAAGAGTCTGATTACGTTACATCAGTGTTATGGGGCTGAGACTACGCTTGATAAAGGTTACTAAAAATCCTAAGGTCAAAACTCAAAACCCTGAGATAAAACAGATGCCTGATTCTCTTTACAACAAGGTTTTTTTAAATGTCGATTTGCTCTTGGGAGGTTTTCCCCTGGGTAAAACCTCCACTTACTGGATTGCCCCTGCACTAACAGTAGAAAAAAGTTCTATTTAAAAGAATTATTCCTGGCCAGGCGATGGTGGCACACACCTTTAATCCCAGCACTCAGGAGGCAGAGCCAGGCAGATCTCTGTGAGTTCGAGGCCAGCCTGGTCTACAGAGCAAGATCAAGACAGGCACCAAAACTACACAGAGAAACCCTGTCTCGAAAAACTAAAAAAAATAAAATAAAATAAAAAAAGAATTATTCCTACCTGAGGCATTCCTGCTAAATTACGCAATAACTAAAATTATGTAATCATAAGAACATTTCCCTGAGCAAATTCTTAAGTCTATGTATATAATCAGACCATTATACAGAATAGTTTCACTATGCTTATGGTCGGCAATTCTACAGAACGATTAATAAGTAGACAACTGTCAAAATCAACTAAACTTCTTGTTTCCATAACCTGAGAGGAAAGCCTTAAGCAACTGCCTAGATTAGATTGGCCTATGGGAATGTCTGTGGGGAATGTCTTATTAATTAATACAGAAAGGCCAAGACCACTGTGAAAGGTACCATCCCTTAGGGCAGATGTTTCTTGGTTATAAAAGCAAGCTAGGAAAACGTGAGCAAGCCAAACAGAAGGCTAGCAAGCAGTGTTCCTCCGTGCTTTCTGCTTCAGGTTTCTCCCGTGAGTTCCTACCCTGATTGTCCTCAATGACGGACTGTGACCTATAAGAAGAAAACGAGGGCTGGGGATTTAGCTCAGTGGTAGAGCGCTTGCCTAGCAAGTGCAAGGCCCTGGGTTCGGTCCTCAGCTCCAGGAAAAGGAAGAAGAAAATTAATCTTTTCCTCCCTAAGCTGCTTTTGATCGTGGTATTTATCAAAACAGCAGAAAGGGGAAGTAGAACAGCCAAAGACATCACCAGATAGCAGCCGAGGCCCGGAGCAGAGGTCTCACCACTTTGCTGTAACTTTGCTGTACGTGTATTTCCACCACGTAATTGAAACGTATCTCAATTTGTAACTTTCTTTGGTCTCTCACTATAAAACTTCCGAAAACTCTACCACATTGGAACACGTGACTTGGCATAACCTAAATCTATGGTCCTATGCCATGGCCACTCATATTTGGCTTCAGAACAAACTCATACCCGTTTAAGGTGAGGGCTGTCGGTGTTGGTTGTGGTTTGTCTTTCTTTTGTTGCTGCTGTTGTTGTTTTATACCATCAGTTATGGGAATAAAGACAATACTAGATTAACCGCATCCCCATCCAGACCAGGTACCAGCATGGGCCTCCTGTGCCCAACCATCTGGTGATGCACACTGACATGTTAATTCTGGGGCACCTAGGCTTCCTGAGCTCTGGTTGATGATTTACTCTGATCCTATTTGTTGAAGACCTTGTGGTCTGCTTTCATAGCATTTGGTTTAAGGTATTCACTTTGTTTCCCTTTGAAAGCATTTTGGTTTCTCACTCTTCAGTTTGTTTTTGTTTGTGTTTGCTCTCAAACCTCTGAAAATGCTCCCAAGTGCTTTAGTCTTTCCCTGAGCACCTTTCTTTCTATTTTAAATAAACTCCAACTCGGTTTCATGGTGACTCATCCTGAAATTCTTCATGTGGAAGTCAAGGATTCAGTTTTAATTGAGGTGAGGTCCTAAAACATTAAGGGAACTCCTTAGGCTGCTAAGGGTGACTGGACTTATGCTCCATCCCTGTTACTACTAACAGTAGAGGAGATAAAAGTGTAAGGGGAGGGGAGTGAGAAATCGGCATGACACACAGAAAGGAAATAAGCCAGGTGAGATTTTCACAATGCCCCACAAAAGTAGCCTGAACAACTAGGAACTGGTACCCACATACATTGTTCTACTTTCACCAGGCCAAGATTTGCAGTAGTTGCAAGCACACTGGTGTGGACCAGGAGCAGTCACCAAGGAGATCCAAGTCCCTCCTGGACATGTGTGTTACGGGAACAGCAAGCTGGAGAGAGCGAGCAGGCTATGGATAACCACCAACTGGATGTACTATATACAGAGAAGACTGGAGCAGCTCTGACTGTATAGCTTGTAAAGGAAGTGTAGCACAGCAGACACTTTGAATCAGAAATTCCCCATGAGAGCATGGATCAGCTAGTCCAAATATAAGAGAACAGCAACATGGAAACATGAGAAGTGTAGGAACCTAGCAAGGGTTCACCGATGGATGCAGCAAGAAATCTTAGGCAAGAACTATGGAACATCAGAAAAACAGAACTAACAGAACAAAAACCACACACACACAAAAGAATAAAACAGCTGGAACCAGGCAAGAACAAGCCAGCAAGAAGTTAAACAAAAGCACCAGTGTGACTTCCACACCCCCTCAGAGTTTTGGACTCAAAAACACCAAATGCCAAGTACAGTAATACTCAACACACCAGAGAAAATGCTCTAACAAGCATGTGGATGGTCTCAAACTGAGAAACTCCTCCATAAAACTGAGTCCTAATATAAGAAAAAGGTGGAGGGGAGCAGCAAGATCACTCAGCAGGTTAAGATAACTGCCATCGAGCCTAACGATCAGAGTCTGATTCCAGAACTCACATGGTAGGAGGACAGAACCGAGTCCAAGATCTCTCTCTCTCTCTCTCTCTCTCTCTCTCTCACACACACACACACACACACACACACACACACACACACACACACGAATAAACAAGTGTAACAACAAAAAAGTCTGAATCTTAAACAGAAACCTCACTATCAGTGACCAGTGACTGCATATAGCTAATTCCTTTTCATTTCAG